AATTTCTCTAATAACTTAAAACAGAACTAACATTCTACCAGCAATTCTATTATTGGGTATATATTCATTAGAAAACAAACTGTCTTTCCAAAAAGACACATGTACTCATATGTTCACTGCACCTCTATTCACAATAGCAAAGACATGGAATCAACCTGGGTTCCCATCAGGAGTGGACTGGATGAAGAAAATGTGGTACATATACACCACTGAATACTATGCAGCCATAAAAAAAGAATGGAATCAGGTCTTTGGCAGCAGCAGGGATGCAACTGGAGGCCACATTCCTAACTGAATTAACGCAGGAACAGAAAATCAAACACTGCATGTTCTCACTTACAAGTGGGAGCTAAGCATTAGGTACTCCTGGATATAAGACAGCAACAATAGAAACTGGGGATGACTAGAGAGGAGAGGGAAGGAGGCAGGCATGGGCTGAAAAACTAACTACTGGGTATACTATGCTCATGTCGTAGGTGACAAGATCATCTGTAAATCAAACCTCAGCGTCATGCAATATACCCAGGTAAAAACCGGCACATGTACTCCCTTGGATGTAAAACAAAAGTTAAAAATCAATAAATAAATGATAAATAAAAAATGTGCCTCATTTCTGTCATCACCTTTATTCATGAAACAACTGTCAGCAGAAGAGAGAGGTTCTGTCACATATGAAAGCTCCTGGAACGCTGCCAGGTACGCTTCAGCCTTCATTTTTCCTTTCTTATCAGGAATCCTCATCACATACTTCTAAACTCCTCAGCAAGGCAAATAGTTTCCAGCAAACAATCAAAAAATAAAAATTTCCTAGGTGTGAACAATAGTCGGTCTTTGCTATTAAAACCATTCTCTCTCACACACAACACTCAATTCACAGCTTCATCTCCCTTCCAGGTCTCATTCAGACTGGTTACAGGAGCATTCCTTCCCCCATACTCCGCGTTTCTAAACCCTGCCTCTTCTTGGAAGCTCCATTAAAACACCATCTTTTTCACAAAGCCTTCCATGATCTCTTGCAGACAAGCAGTTCTGATCCTCTGAACTCTCAGCATTTTAGTCGTGCCTTTCCAATTTTTCTTTTCCTTGTAATTCATTTCTTTCATTCACCAAACATATACTGAGCACATTTTATATGAGAGGAATGTGCCAGGCAATGAGGATGTTACATGCAAAGGACTCATACTGAGTTAGGGAAGGCAAACTATTCAACAAGAATTTGTAATAAAATGAGTTAGGGGAGACCACAGGAGAGGATCCCAATTCAGCTGTAGGAGGCTCTGAGAGGAGGTGGCACCAAGAAAAACCCTGGGCCAGGTGAGGCGGCTCACGCCTATAATCCTAGCACTTCGAGTGGCCAAGGAGGGTGGACCGCTTGAGCCTAGGAGTTCAAGATCAGCCCGGGCAACATGGCAAAAATTTGTCTCTACAAAAAAATTAGTGGGGCATGGTGGCACACTCCTGTAGTCCCAGCTATCTGGGAAGCTGAGGTAAGAGGATTACCTGAGCCTGAGAGGTCGAGGCTGAGTGAACCACGACCACCACACTGCACGCCAGCGTGGGTGACAGAGTGAGACCGTGTCTCAAAAACAAACAAACAACTCTGAAGAATCCATTAAAGAGGGCAGAGGAAGATTCCTCTAGGCAGGGGGCAAAGCACATGCAGAATCCTGCACTGAAAAAAAACCAGTATGGAAGATGGGCATCTTTTCATGCTTGGGGAAGTACAAGTAGGCCAGTCAGTGTGGCGAGGGTGCAAAGGAGAAAAATGAAGGAAGATAAGACTGGAGAGCCAAAGAGAGAAAGAATATTTAGAGTCATTATGCTATGCTAAAGGATCCTAAATTTTATCCAGGGTTGCAGGGAGATGTGAAAGGATTAAGAGACTGACGTATTGAGATGTTCACGTGAGAAGGATCATCCCAGCTGTGGTTTGGAGAACAGAGAGGAAGGTGAGACTGGAGGCCAGGACACCACTGGGGCTATAGGAACCACCCAAGGATGAGATATGGGGAGCAGCAGGATGGAGAGACGAGGCAATGTAAACGCTTAGGGTCTTAAGTCTTAGAACCTGGTGATGATAAGATGTGTGGCGTGTGAAGGAGCAGGGAGAAAAGGGTGACAAGATTTCTGTGCTGGGTAACTGAATGAATAGTGGGTCTACTGGGATAGGGAAGGTGGAAAGTAAAGCTGGTTTTGGAGCTCAGTATACAGTTAAATATTTAGAAATCAAATAGCTTTAGTCCCGAAGCTTTAGTTCATATATATATATATATATGGAATTCATGGAATTCAAGCCACAGTACTGCTAAAGACACCTAAATCTTTAGCTCCCTGCTAAACTCTAGATCCTTCTATCAAGTTGCTTTCTGGATGGTCTCCTTCTTTGCCTCAAAGCACTTTAAACTCAGAGTAATGTAAAAGACATACAGCATTGTTCTCCCAAATCAAGAATATGAATTGAGAGAAATCAAGGAAAAAGTACCTTTTAAGGAAAGTAAGACTACAAAAAAAATCAGCAAATATAGAACAAGCAGCTCTTTAGTGAACACAGCAATGGTAATTTCATTGGCTGTGGCACAGAGGTTGAAATGCAGTGGGCTGAAGAGTGAAAGGTGACAAAATAAAGACAACACGTATGGACAAATCCTTCAAGAAACTTGACCACTAAAAGAGTTAAAGAGGGAGATGGAGTCACTGAAGTGGTTTCCAACCTTGGCTGCCCATTGGAATGACCTGGGTAGCTTTCACCATCCCAATGCCTGGATGCTACTCAGACATTTTGATGTCATTGGTTTGGGGTGCTGTTTGGACAATCGGATTTTTAGAACTTCTTGTGTTGCAAAAATTAAGAAACACAGATGAGAAGAAAGATTGTTTCATTCAATAGTAAGAGACATTTGAAAGTATTTTCCTGATGATAAGACAGAGACTGTAGTGAAGGAAAGATTGATTCAGAAAAGCGGAGTGGACAAATGGAATGAGCTCCTTGAAGGGGTAAAAGGAGATGGGACCCACGGGAAGGGGAAAGGATCAGGAAAAAGTCTTTCCCATTCAGACTGGGTTGGAATACAGGTGAAAACGTATTTTAAGGCATGAGGAAGATAAATAGTTGAGGTGGTTAATACCTAATGGCTTCAATTTTCTTTGTTAAGTAAGGCTCTTTGCTGAGAATAAGGGGGAAAGCTGTATTATAAGGAATTTGAGAAGAACAAGTGATTTGAAATCGTCCTTAAAGAAACGCTTTCAAGATACCACCACTTCCTACCTGGACTACGATCATCACCTCCCAGCTGATCTCCAGGCACCTATTCAGTTTCTCCTTCCAATCTATTGACAAAATGATTCTTCTCAAACATAAATGGCATCGTGACACTGACCAATTTAAAGTCATTCAATGGCTTTCCATCACTTTTTGGACAAAATTTTAAATATTTCATATGGATTTTAAAGCCATTCATTATTCTGCCCCAGCATAATTCTGCAAACTCATTCCCACTACTCTGTCCCTCTCTCTCTATGCTCCAGCCATCAGGGCCTTCTCCAAATGCCTAGAAAGTGCGATGCTTTCCAGGTCCCGAGTCTTGGGTGTGTTACTTTCCTGGGCCTGAAACCCTCTTCCCCTTTTCACCTGACCACTCATCAATGCTTTCAGGTCTCATTGGCAAAATCTGTCTCAGGAAGCTGTTTCGTGACTAGGTCAGATCCCCCTGTTACACATTCCCACAGTACCCTGAACAGAATTTTGCGGCTTTATCGCAATGATGATAAAAGCTCACTTATGAAAATATTTCTGTACCATCTACTTCTCCTACCAGTTCGTAGGCTTTATGAGGAAACTGCATTGTTCCTGTGACTACGACATTCCCAGCCCCTTCGGTTAATATCTGGTGATTGTGGAATGAAGAAGAGAGAGGAAAGCATAAGAGGACTGCTGAAAGCGCTGAAAGAGCTGTGGACACTGAAGACCTGGAGGGTACAGCTGTGTCATCTGCAAGGCTGTGGGATTTTTACCAGCTGAGATCACCAATCCAAGGCAGAGACGGCAGGTAGTAGGGTTTTGACAGATGCGGTTTTCAAAAATGGCAAGAAGACAAGGAAGTTTACAGGAAATGCCTCAGTTTACTCATAAGGCTGAAAACTCACTGGGCAGAAGTGGCGATTTTTCTCTTTCCATATCTTTAGGCCTGCACACTATATTGTACATAGCACATATTCTCAGTATACGTTCACTGAATGAGTTAATTATCACACATTGGAATCTTACAACAACATAGCATTTAGAGTACAAGCTGTGAGTCCACTTTTAAAAACAAACATGTAGCACAGTTGTTTTGGTTACTCAATGGACCACAACTTGCTCAATTCTAGTCTAGTTAGCAATTTTAAAGCTAGGTCCCACTCAACTCTGTATTCTAGTTTGTGAACGCTTTTTCAAACGCTGCTCATTTCATGTTACCTGTTCCTTTCGCCTTAAATCTCTCCCTTCATCTGGTTACTGTTATTATCGACCACATAACTTGTCAGAACTGATTTCATACAGAGTCTATAATCACTTTTTCTTGGTTACTCAGTTTCTTACAAGTGTTTTATCTTCTGCATGTTTAATTTAGGGCTAGGAGATTAAGCAGGGGAGTCACCTCTCCTTGATTTAGCTAAGGCTGAAATAAAAGCTGAGTAACTTCATAGCACTCCTCTGGGAAACATGAGAGAGAAAAGAATCAAACAGAATGGCAGGATTTAAAGTATATTTTATAATTTCATAGTATGGAATCTAATTGATTATTTTATTTGAAAAGGTCAGAATAAACGAATGAGAAGTATATAAAAAAATAACATTTTTATGAACTCTAAATTACAAGAAATTTAACTACTTATACAATAACAATTTTAAAATTTAAAGTTCATTCAAGAACTCCAGCCTACGGAATCATCCATGGCATCATAAGAAACGTTTCTTCGGCAATGTGGATAATATCGGAGTGGATAATATCCTTAATTACCTTTGATCCCATGTCCTCCCTTTCTTTTGTGATTTCCTTTTTCATCATATCTTTCTCAATGGCCCTTTTCTCTTGCTGAGATGCAAGTTCTTTTTCAAGTCGCTCTGCCTGCCTCTCCAGCTCGTTCCTCAACTGGTCACACTGGATTAAAGCCTGCTAGGATATAACAGGTTGAAAGAGGAGTTGAGAATTTAAAAACAGTAAGGGGAAAATGAGATAATTAAGCTTTAACCGTCTTTAAAATAGTTAAAATTCACTATCAAGCCCATTAGAATAACTTCGTATTTGTTTATCAATACTACTTATTGACCCCAAAGAGTATCCAGATGTTACATTTATTGACGTATTTCAATTTTCATGATTAAAGCCCTATTAATTAATCAATGACAAAATTCAGGTAATGAACCTTGATGAGGGCCACAGATGAGTCAGAATTTTGAAAAAGGGAGCCAGAAAAACCAGGTGCTCTAATATTTTCAATTATATGTTTATACTACATGATGACAGATCAATCCAAATAGCAAAATGAAATGTTGACTATATCATTACACACAGGCATCTTTTGTTTAATACTATATAAAAATCAAGTTTCCTTAAATATAACTAAGGCAAAATTTAGTTCACTTCCCTTAAACATACAACTAAAGTAAAAATTATGTAATAATCATAAGTTAAATGGAAAGACTCAAAACAGTATTCACTACTTAGTTTTATGAGGATCCTTCATTTCTGGTAAAGCTCATAATTGTCCTTTATTCTAAATTTCCCACTTGCATTTCCAGAAATAAAAATACCCTAACTTCATTTTGGCCACTTCTACAATATCTTTATGTATAATACTAGATAATAAAATATGACGTCGAAATCCCAATTTTGGGAGGTTTTTTTTTTTGTATAAATGTACGGGGTACAAGTGTAATTTAGTTACATGCATAGATTGTATAGTAAAATCCCAATTTTTAAAAATTCTCATAAAAATAAGGTACTATAGTATCTTATAGTCTTATTCTAGTGGGCCTTATGTGCAATATCCGTCTCACCCAACCTTTCTTTTCTCCTGAATTGGAAGAAAGAACCCCAGGTCTCATATGACTTACATGCTGTGTGATTATAAGTTTCATAGTCACATTTGATTTTAATGGAGACGGAAATGGCCTTGGTAAGCACTGTGAGTCTTATGCATAGTTATGCTTCCCTCTGGTGAACGCTATAATAAATACAGACAACAAATATCTAGGATATGTGAATGTCCCTCTCTTTATCTGGAAAGCATTAAACTCCCATTTCTTTTGGTATCTTCTGAAAAGTTTCTATTCTTCTAGGCATAAAATATAAAGGTAAAATTCAATCGTCTCAGATTAACTAATAAACAAATTTCTTTTGGTATCTTCTGAAAAGTTTCCAATTTCTTTTTATCTTCTGAAAAGTTTCTATTCTCCCAGGCATAAAAAATAAAGGTAAAATTCAATTGTCTCAGATTAACTAATAAACAAATACAATCACTAAAAATGATTCTCCTAGGGAGATAGTCCCAAGTCCAAATTCTAGCTGAGAATGCCTGGAAAGGAAATTTTAAATTCGATTTTCAAATAAATGAAAAAAGCATACTTTTTCTTTAAGGCCTGAGAGCTTGAAATATGAATTAGTCACTCTTTCTGACTCACAGTGTAATTGCTCTTGTGAAAAATATTTCACATGAGCACAGTAAATGCTCATAATTTTCCCTCATATAATGAATACTACTGGTATGAATAGATAAAATGATTACTTAAAATAAACCAATATATCCGGTCAGAAAGTTTTTCATTAAACAAAAACTCACCAAGATAGGATGATACAGAGAGAAGCACAAAGTGAGAAGCTGTAAAATCATGTAAACAAAGGCACTGCTGAAGCCTTGGTTTTGTGGATGGTCTTCCCTCTATTAGGACTAGCCACCACCCATGGGTGATGATGAGTCACGAGCAACAAAACACAGAATACAAAAAAACTGGTCATTGGCCAGGCATGGTGGCTCATGCCTGTAATTGCAGCACTTTGGAAGACTGAGGCAGGTGGATTGCTTGAGGTCAGGAGCTGAAGACCAGCCTGCCAACATGGTGAAACCCTGTCTCTACTAAAACACAAAAATTAGCTAGTGTGGTGGTGGGTGCCTATAATCCCAGCTACTTTGATTTTTACTTTTTCTTTCTGAGACAGTTTCACTCTGTCATCCCAGCAGGTAGGAGGCTGAGGTTGCAGTGAGCCAAGATGGTGCCACTGCACTCCAGCCAGGGCAACAGAGCGAGACTCCATCCCGAGAAAACCAAAAACCAAACCAAAACAAAAGAAAACAAAAACTGGTTACTGATGTCACTTAGTGTGTAACCAATGATTTCATACTATAAAACAGCTTTTACTTTTATTTGCTTTGATTTTTGACATATATGCCTGGCCACAATGAAGAAAATAGAAAAGTATAGTAATACTTGGAATCAAAAAAATGATTTAATCTTTCTAAAGATAACTCTTTTACAATGGACCCCACATACTAAAAGATTTTGGTCTACTAAACAAATATTTATACAGTGTCTCCATTAAAGCTTTCTCTTAATTCTAGAGTTTCTTCTCCTGGTTTCCAGAACCCCTGTCGATTGAGTACCCCTCTAACCATTCAGTAAGGACATAATGACCGACTTCTCAAAGGCTAGGTCAGTAAACAGTCAACTACCACCAATTGAAAGATTTTTACTTTTTCTTTCTGAGACAGTCTCACTCTGTCACCCAGGATGGAGTGCAGTGGCTCCATCTCAGCTCATTGCAACCCCTGCCTCCTGGGCTCAAGCAATTCTCCTGCCTCAGCCTCCTAAGTAGCTAGGATTACATGTGCCTCCCACCACGCCCAGCTAATTTTTGTATTTTTAGTAGAGACAGGGTTTCACCATATTGATCAGGCTGGACTTGAACTCCTGACCTCAGGTGATCCACCTACCTCAGCCTCCCCAAGTGTTGGGATTATAGGCGTGAGCCACTGCGCCCAGCAGATAGATCTTTATAGTAACTGAATTCTCAAAGCCTATGTCGGTAAACTGTTGATTACCATTAAATGATAGATCTTTATAGGTGACAAAGTTAATTTGAGGCCTATGGCTATTATTTCTCTCAGTAGTCCCCAAGTCCTGGCTTCTCTCCCTCTGCCTGAGCACAGCCCCTTCCTTAGTGGAAATGGCTGTAGGTTTTGGGAAGTTAGGGAATTATACATTCCCCTCACCCAGCAGACTCATTCCTGAAGGAACCTTTTCTTTTCTGGGAAATTTCTTTATGTGTGGTCATTTTACGTTGACATATTAACACTTTTTTCAAAGACAGTTTATTGGACTTGATATTCCCAGTCCTGGTTTTATTTATTTATTTATTATTTATTTATTTATTTTGAGATGGAGTCTTGCTCTTGTTGCCCAGGCTGGAGTGCAATGGCACAATCTTGGCTCACTGCAACATTCACCTCCCGGGTTCCAGCGATTCTCTTGCCTCAGCCACCGGAGTAGCTGGGATTACAGGCACTCACCACCTCGCCTGACTAATTTTTGTATTTTTAGTAGAGATGGAGTTTCCTCATGTTGGCCAAGCTGGTCTCAAACTTCTGACCTTGTGATCTGCCCACCCCGGTCTTCCAAAGTGCTAGGATTATAGGCGTGAGCCACCGCACACGGCCAGTCCTGGTTTTATTAAACCAAAGGGTAGACACTACTCTCTTAAGCAGTCAAAATATTTTCCAAAACAAAATTTATATCTAGTCAACTAAAATTTTAAAACAGGAAACCTATTGTAGATGATATAAGAGTCCTTCCCAACTGCTAGGGTTAGTTTTTAAGGAATCCTTGTGACAAAATAATTCATAAATAACTAAGGAATTAAGATCTTATGAAAAATATACAGCTCACACTTAACGAACATGAACTTTAAAAGCTTACAAACGTTTTTATTTTTGTGTAATAATAAACCCCACAAAATTAAAAAGATTAACACATTTTAAGCATCTAATTTATGAATAATGCAAACTATTGATTTTAATTTATAAACCTTTGCTAACCAGAAACTTACCAGTCTATCCCTATGTACCATTTTCAAGATATTTATACTTTGCTTTTGTTTTGTGACAGATAATGTGCATATCAAGAAGCATTATTTCCTATACTTGTGGCTACAACCAAATACTCAAAACTTTTCTGATTTTCTTTTTAATCCAGGCTTCTAATTCCTGCCTTCCTGACTCCCTGTAATCCAAGGAACAGAATAATACGGATATTTGAAAAAGGGGAAAAAAGTGTTTGTAAACATTTGTTCAATCTATCAGGTTTCTGTTTAAAAAATTAATCTTTAAAATATCACATGTAACCCACAAATATGTACAATTATTATGTACACATAATAATTAATTTTTTTTAAGCTCACACTACCTACCCATGAAAGTATATAGCAGGATAGGTCTTAGCAAATTTGAAATAAATACTTTGCTCAATTTGTTATGAGTTAAAAAAAAAAAATTCCCTTAGAGGGTTATGTCATTACAGATATGCTTACGGTAACTTCATGCCAAAGCCTGTGCCTTCAAGACTTTCCATATGCCTCTCAACAATTTCCCTTCCAACATAAGTAGGCAGGCCAAAGGCCTAGTTAACCGTTTTATCTGCTTCTCCTGGCTTGCCTCACCCAGGTGTCACCGCAAAAGCCTCTACTTTTTTTCACCATTTAGTCCCAGGTGAATTTTTTTCTTCTTTTAAAATTATCACCAATTGAAATAACTTGCATTTTCAAACAAAAACATGTATTGAGCACTGACTATGTGCCAGATACATTGCTAAGTGGCATATATGGATTATTTAACCCTCTCAATATATTTTAATTGGTTCTTATCACTCAATTGAAGAAACTGGTACTTTGAGACATTCAGCAACTTGCCCAAATCAGAGACCTAGAAAGTGGAAGAGTAGGAAGTTTATCTAAGGAAGTTCCATACAAGAATCTATGTGTGACATTGTATACTTCTCAAGTTATATATTTATTTTCTTATAAAATCCTCAGGCATTTTCACTGCCACTGTGAATGTAAATATGTAATTCCTTCTACTTAGCATGTAATACCCAAATGTCACACTAGATGGCAACAAATGTCAA